TAAGGCATTTACGAGCATCGTTCGCACTGTCTTTAGTGTGGTCTCCTGAAATATCTAAGATTGTTTTTTATTAGGTGGACTACCTTGTCTAGAAAGGTGCTGAACCAGACACGCCACGATGTCTTCGTTGTCTGATTCCAGAAAGGTTTTACTCCGTTAAAGTGCAACACGTGGAAACTCTATTTCACAAATAAGGGGAATCAACGCTTGACATAGCAGGACAATCAAACTGAAATATGTGTCACGAATTGCCAAGTATGCAGTTTCATAATTGTCGGAGACCATTAGTAATAGATAGTTAGTTCTTGTTCTCGTTGCTTTCGCTTCTGTTTTATTACCTGAAGGTGGTCTGTAAAGAGACAGGTCATGCGATTTATGTTCATCTATGACAACTGTCCATTCATTTGTTTCCTCCTCAAAAATATAGTATATCAATAATGTCACAATGTAACCTACTGAACCAATTAGACCAATGGCAATACTAAACGTAGCAAGATTCCTTTAGTACCCGTGCATTCTAAATAGTATCTCATTAACGGTATTGAGACGTATTGTCATGTGAGTGTCTGGTCAATAAAGACTGCTTCTACAACGCTATCAAATTCCTATCCCTATCAGGAAATCTAGTGACGTATGACGTTCTGGAAGACAGCAAGGTTCAATAAAAAGTGTACTTTTCAGCAATTATGCAAACTGATAGCAGGAGCTATTATTGTTAATGTCATCAGGAGTATCATATATTCCACGGCTTTTTATCGGATCCAGAAACAATGGCAAACTCAATTGGATGTCGAAACCAGCACGAACCATCGTTGTTTCCGCTATTTTGGACACATCCGGTGAACACTTACTTTCACTAGACGATTTATAACACACTTGGAATGTAGACACCTCTTGCTGTAATATGAAAATAAGCGGTTATTGGGAAATAATTAACACAGCCTCCCACGCAGAGCTTTTGAGGGCTTTAGGTAAATTATAGGCCTTCGCTGAGGGAGAAATCATTGGCATAGTTCTTCAAAGAGGAAAGCTGTAGCGGTTTCCATATATGGTAGTTTACTTTGTACTTTTTGTAGTCTATTTTTTGTTGTTGAAATTCCCCATCATTAATACATAAGATTCATTTTTTTATCAAAATATCTTTGAAAGTGTTACCGCTTTAAATGTTCATTTTGTGTCTAACTATATTTTGTAACACCTTCATCGTCATGTTTCTAAGATCACTACTGAAGAACAGTTTAACAAGTATAATCAACTGATTATTTAATATTCATAGCGGTAAAGTAATAGTCGCTGTACTTGGGAATAGAAAGTAACAAATTTGACCACCATCATTCAGTTTTACACTATCAACGGAAAAAAGAATTTTGGGGCGTGGATCGATCTGGAAACCTTCCACTTGAATGATTTTGCCCATTTGTTTGACAGATGTTTATTTTCTGTCCTTTCTTTATGGCCTTCTAGTAAAAGCAATTATATCGATGTATTGTTTCATGTCCAACAACACCCCTTTAATTTAGTGATATATTTTAGCTATACCCCTTATACACTGGGTAACAAACCATTTTCGACCATTACATTGATAAAACAAGCTGTGAATAAACTCTGTCAGTAGGGAGCAATTACTGTTGTCATTTCACTTGTCACACAATGCTCCAGTGTGACTGTGTCTGTCTGTCCGTGTGTGTGAATGAGTGGGTGAATGTGTGAGTGACTGAGCTAGCGGGCGTGAGTGCGTGTGTACGGGTGTGTAATTTGATAAATCGTTGACCACAATTAAACAGTTCCCTAATTTCACTTGCTTCTAAGGTTCACCTTCTGATGAACTGAACATTTGAACAATTGCTTTGCGGCATGTGTTTGTGAAAGGTGTCACCAGCAGTATGGGATACGCTCTCATTTTCAGAAACACCTTTCTATCTTCAGCTATTCGAGCTTAAATAATAAACACATGGTTATGTAGATAGAATCGTACAGTAGTGTTTGTACAATTGCTCACATGTAGTTAATGCGTCGTATGTCTGCACAAGCCTTTCCGTTGATTCGTTTGGAAACAAGTTCAGCGCCATTCATTCTTTAATGCTTCAAGATATCCACACACATTAGGGGCGGATCCAGTGTGTGTGTGTGCGTGCGTGCGTGCGTGCGTGCGTGCGCGCTCTTACCCTATTGGCGGAGACTTGATGTCATTTAGAATTTTCAGAGTTTCAGTCAGATAATTTTCTGGCGATTATGTTCTGTATAAGTCTCATTTCGTTAATGTCTTGATTCTATCGAGACCTGAAGCGTTACCACAACAACACGTGATGGCAAGTACCGTGTTATATTGAAATGAAACATAGGATCGGGTCGTCCAATAACTACTGACATGGAACATTTTGGAAACCGAATTCCAATCTTTAGATTTCGGTTTCAGCATTTTATTATAAGTATGTCATTTCGTTAAATCGAAAGTGTTTCATCCGAATGTATCTGCAGAACAGGATTTGGAAAAATGTTTCATTTTATATGAAATAATATATTAAGCGCAGCGTGTGACAGTGATGACTCGCATTGCCTGCTGCTGTAGCTACCTGTGGGACATTCCATGGTTGTAAATTCCATATTAGAGCCCAAGCTAAAGAACTCAATCCAGACAAATGGAACGGACAAGTACAGATGATAAGTAGGTGTTGTAAGGAAGGTAATTGGTTAAATGACACTCTGTGGCACTTAGCCAAGGCCGTTTCCAAAACCTGGAAACGGTAAACATCGTTAGGACCTTCAGGATGTTTTGCTAAATTCTAGGCATTCCTTCTGTCAACATCCACGATGAGTATATTCAAATCATGACCCTAAGGCACTTATGACAGTCAGGAAAATACAATTTTAGAATCATAAAGGTCAATAAACCACGTGTAGAAGTCCACAGGTGTATGTCACTTCTTTCTTCTTTTCCAAACAGAAAAAATCGGTGCAACCGGGAAACTTTACTGTGGATTTTAAAATATGTATGGTGTTCGAATAAGCCTTTTAGGACCATTTCCTGTTGTATTGATTTGCACTTAATAAAGCTCTGCCATTTATCCTTGTGATGTCACAAGTAATCATGACAGCCCGCCTGACGTGGGCAGAACATATTCCGGCTGTAAAATAGTTTGAAATAATTTCACAGTTTCACAAACACTGCATGAAGTATTGTAATATAGTGTTCTTGTTGTTGATGTAAAACTTAAGATCATAAGAACCTGCTCGATGTACTGCAAACCTGCTTAACTGAAATATATTTGCAAAATGTGCAACTTCTCTTTAGCGTTTAGCTCCTAGCATTAGCTGTATCCGCTAAATGATGAGGAGGTAAAATGTTCAATGTTCTCGAACGTGTGTGTTAACTATCTAATAGGGGTTCCTGGACATGTTCCTATGGATTGGGCAATGGAAACAAGATTTCTTATGTTTGTGGACATGCTTCGTTGCTTTAAAGTCGTGCCGTTCATGAAGAGATAACTACGTATTTGCGAGGAAGCTCACATGTGCATGTGCATGTGGTAATTGCATATGAGTGAGTGAGTTCAGTTTTACGCCGCTTTTAATAATATTCCAGCTATATCACGGCGGGGGACACCAGAAATGGGCTTGACACATTGTACCCATGTGGGGAATCGAAAATTGCATATGCTATAATGACCATTGCGTATATATATGTTTTATCATACAGGTGTACAATCAACAATGACGTTCTCAGAAATGATAACATAACTGCATTTTGTTTCAGCATGACGCGGTTGCCTATACATGCTGAAATTCTGTTTACGACTCTGATAACAATGTACGTCACAGCCTCCCGTGTGACAATTTGTCCATGATATATGGTCAGCGACCACGTCATGTTCTTACACCATGCCTGTTGACTGACGCCAGTATTTATGGTGTGGTTGTGTAAGAGGTGTTATTTGTTGCCAGTAAACATTTATACATGTCATCAGGTGTGTGAGAACACATTTATACAAGGATTTAATGGATTTATCCAGTGTTGTCGGCATTTGCCTAAGGCAGTATCCGTCAAACAGAAGCTCAGTCGCATTTGTCACTGCGTGTTAAGTTTTAGAACAATGAAATAATGATATTCCTATTGCCCAGCTTACAAACATCCTCTCTCATGCGTCATTGTTCAAATTCATGTCTCGAAGTTTTTCTGAGGCGTTCACAGAAAATCCTATATTTCCAATGTCCTTGTATGCTTCAACTGGAACTACATTCGTTCACCTTCAGTTCTAAGCCTAGATCCGTTTTCCAAATTAATAAATCCAAATTCGAAGTGAATTTTACCCCTTTGTGAGTTTGAGCAAAGTTTCAATGCAAAGAGTTAAGAAAAGGGTACTATGAATGAAATCAGTCCTACTTGAACTATACACAATATAAACTATTATTGATAAATAACAGTGATAAAGAAGGTTAAATTATTTTTTGTGATACTAATTCATATTCGTATAGGAAAAGGACATGAATCATATATGTGCGTACATATATTGTAAATAATGTACATATGCTGGAACCGAACTTGTCCTCGGCGAGACGAGCAAAGTATTAACTCATTGCACCGTCCCTCCTCCCGTCAGTGGATCTGCGATTTAAAAACTACAGACATTTTAAACCTCGTTTGTTTGAAAATGATCCTAAATTTCGACCTCGATAAATCAAAACTGGCACGAGCGTAACATTTACATAAACTATTTGCACCTTTACGCGACTAGAATACTGATAATGTATAGCCCGACATTATGACCAATTATCTTCATTTGCTCTTCTTCGGAAGATATATCGTCTTCCTCTAAATGCGACTCGGTTTTCTGACAGCAAGTTACCTTATCTGTTAAATCAACACCAACCGAGAAACCACGACACTGGTATGGCTTTGGGTCGTATCGGTTGCCACGTGACAAGCGGCATATTTGGGATTCTCGCTGCTATGTTACCTACACATGATGTATGTTCTCTTAAGTAACAACCAGAAGCGATCGTGTTTTACCGTTTACTTTATTTCTCACGTGCATACACTAACTATCCTCAACTAATAATATGAAAGACTCGTAAATAGGCCATTTGTACGTACCATGACAATCATATTTTCACTCTGTTATCGTAATAAAACTAAAGAATCACCAGATTCATTCTCTAATATATATTCACATTCATTGACAAAGGTTACAGAGGTTTTTTTTACCTGATTATTATCTTCTTAATGGTTACATTTGTACCGCATGTTATTGAATTGAGTATGTACTTTGTATTTTATGATCGGAAATTAAAAGAGAAAACAAAACAGACATAGTGCTCAGAATCGTCGCTGTACAAGACGCATTACATACAACAATACTGTGATATATACAAAATATACGCATTGCAAGACTCCGTATTGTGCTGTAAGCTTTACTTGATCTACGTCAGCTTATGGGCGTTCGTGTAATAATAGATGCTAAGCATATTTGAATGGCAAGAATTGACAGTTCCTTCATAACATATTGCGAATGTATTTCATAGCTTTGCAAACTATGCTTATGTCATCTGAAATATAATGTGGAGTTTTAACGTCTGCATTTATATGTACATGTTCAGGCAAGAGGTCTATGCAAGACATAAACGTTATAATAGAGCAATCGAAAGAGCATTGAATAAGATTCACATAAACATGTTCAGGGTGGTGCTTTGCTACCATACAAAATGGTGAAAATGTTATTTTTCAGAAAACTGACTTCTTCAATAAATAGAGGCAAAATCTTCATCCTTCATTGTCAAAGTTAAAGCCCACTATCCAAGTGTAAGAAGGCGCCGTGTGTGGGTTAAGCGAAATTTCTGGAAAAGAACGTTGTATCATTTTCCTGACAATATTCTAGCCAAAAATTCTTCATTTGCTGCATATCCTCTCAAACGTTAATGGTGTACAACAGAGTAGGGTTTCACTTCATTTACCATTTCCATCGCTGATCCAGTATTCTTTTTCGGGTGTGTATGATCAGCTACACGCTGGCACTAGTTGGTTCTTCGAAGTCAGTGAATCGGGCCAACAAGGCACCGTCGTTCATTGGGTGTTCTAGGAGTGAGTCTACATACGTTTTTCACTACTCCGTTAACACAAGCGTGTACGCATCGCCCAGGAGGAATATATCGACAACGGCCGCCTAGTCCTCCACAGTTTGCCTGCAAAATGGAAGGAATAATGTTAAATAAGGCTTACTTAATACTCAATCTGTTTGTTCTCCGACACATGTCGAGTAGTCTGTCATACAGACCCTGAAGCAAATATATCCAAGAAAGCCCACGCAAGTCTAGAAAATGGAGCAAGTCTAGTCTCAGGGCTCCTTTTCATTATATTTCATTATTTTGCTATGAGCTTTCTTCTGTAAAATATGTTTATTTCAGAGACTAGTTGTTAGTCTACATGTAGAGTAACGTGTATATTTAATTGTACACTTGCAAACTAATTGCACCAGTAAGACTTTATTTACTTAACAGCATACCTAATCTTTTTCCTTTTTATATTTATTTCTATATTTTGAAGTTACATATTCCATCCTTAACAAACATTCAAAGGAATAGTATACATAGCTAATCTTGGTCAGCCTTGACCGAAAAATCATTAGAAGACTGACCCTTTTTAGGACGATTTCTAATAGTTTTAAACAGCTTACTGATATAATAGACTATTGAGTCAGAAAATAAGAAAGTAAGATTGTTTATGGATAACAACTTCTTTTATTATATATGATGCGACGTTTCGGTATGGATTCTCACTCTTGCTTGACAACGGTATAAGAATCTATACCGAAACGTCGCATCATATATAAAAAAGGAGGTGGTATCCATAAACAATCTTACTTTTTTATTAGTCACCAACTTCTAAATGCCAATCAAACAGATGAGTCAGAAAACTTGGGAAAGTATTCGTTTGCTCGAATCATTATATCTTGGCCCTTGTGTAATTTTAGGGTTCTATTTCAAACCCGTCACCTAATCGATGATTTATGACAGTTTCATTTAAACCATACATCTTCTGTTTGACCCAGACGTTATCTGATTTCTATTTATAAACAAACGCCCCCAACGGAAAATCGCATGGTATCTTCCATTTCCGTTGTGATTGCCTGGGCACTTGTCTGTTCGATATGTGTGAGTACACAAAGGCACTCGGGAAGATAGTGAATGGTTGATATTATTAAAGATGTATCTGTTCACTATGGCTACGTTTTAATGAAAAGCCCCTCATCTGTCAAATCAAAATTGGCCACATCACTCGAAGTAGCATATCTGATCACAAAATTAAATGGAAATAACATTATTTCTTTCCCTGAAAAGGAAATCAATTTATGACCATCAGCTCAGTCAGTGGCTATCTTTGTACAACCTCATTTCACTACCCCCGAGACTCATATACAGCCACCCCCACTTCTGGAACCTCGACATCATTAAATCAAGAATATAAGTGCAAACCAAACCATGGTCCGTTTTCGTTATCGGTTCTTTGATAGACTGGAAATGTGTCCGCGTTTGCTTCTGTGTTCCTGTAACTTTATCACCACGAAAACCGTATTTTCCATATTCAAATACCAACAGCTGTATTGTTTTGCAATAATCAAATGGCCGTTTTATCAGAACTGGTCCCTTCAGCTTGAGATAACGAGCACTGACTCAACGCTACTAACCAGAGTGTATCTCTTTTATGCACGTATCTCACTTGGCAACCGAGCAAATACAAACCATTTCAGACATTCATATGTTAATTGGGCTTGATGGCAACGTATAGTGGCGACATCTACCTAGCTCATGACTTTATGACCCCTATCTTGACGTTATCGCTTACTTTCTGATGCCCCTTCATGTTAATGCTGATGTAAGAGTTGCAGACACGTGTGGAGGTGCCATAAACAGCTTTTGGGAGGCAATAAGAAGATATTTCTGGCCACACTGAGACAACGTTTCCTCTTCCAGACCATGATTCGATAATTGCTTCTAAAAGTAACAGTTAAGCACATTTAACACGTGCTGCTGTGGCATTTCATTATGCTGAGTGTATATTTATTACAGGAAAACTAAACTGAGACTCATTATCATTCTAATACCATGCCGCTTTTCATCATAGTCCTGTATCTTCGTTTAATATTGCTTTGTAATATGTTTTTTTTTTTATCGTTTTAATCATCTTTAATTGACATATTTTATCTTCAAATGAAATTTTAATTTAAATTATATTTTCATCTTTTTTAAATTTCTGCCAGTGGACATAATGGTGTGGGGTCTAAGGAAGTTCATGACTCGTAAATCTGGACGATCAAACGATAAACGTGCACGAGTTTTCTAGAATCAAATAAATGCCAAATTTTTGCTTTGAATCGATTTTCTATTGCAGAAAAGAAACATTAACGCAATGTTTTTCTTGGGGCATACAGTAGGTTTAATATAACAGAGCAATGATTTATACACGCAAACATTAGTCAGACATGTTGGGATTCTATCTGTGGTTTTGTCCCTTGAACATCGATCGAAATACTGTGGTTTTTTCAATCACTTCAGTCACTTTTACAGACAGAACCGCAAACTAAACATATAACCTCATTTATCAAAACAATCCTTAGAAAGTCTTCGAAGTGAAATAAATCATGTCAGCGTTTGATAATTAAAGCATTCAGATAGGTATTCTAAGGTAGGAATTATTGGTTGCACAGGATGTATATGCACGTGGGTGGACGTTTTGCAGACAAGCCCCGAGGTCACCATCAACTTCACACATCTAATGTTGTACCTGAAGCCAAGAGAATAGATGGAATCGCATGCAGTTCCGGCGAAACATTGCCTAGTATCCCTATCACTCTTATCAAGACACTGAACTACATGTTTATTGCCTTTCCTTTTATAACTACAACCATATGGAATGGTTTGCCCTTTATTGCTCGTTTCCAGATACCAATTGTACAAGACACATGTTTCAAAGGTGATAAAAAGTCTCCAAAGCGATCCTATGTCATTTAACATATCATAGATGTTGTAATATGTTTATACATGCCAGCATGTGTGTTTAGGTGTCCTAAAATGTATAAAATATAATTACAGCTGGTCTAATATTTTCGAATGACATATAGACATAGGTGGGGAAACAGGGCTAGTTAATGTGTATAACTTCCTTTGGTGGTGGGGTAGCTTAGTGGTTAAAGCGCTCGTTAATTTCGCCGAAGACTTGGGTTGGATTCTCCGCATGTGTACAATGTGTGAAGCCCATTTCCGGTGTCCTCCGCCGTGATATTGCTGAAACATGCTAAAACGGCACTCACTCACTGACTATGATAACTTCTAACCGGTATCTCAAAGTTTCCTGTAACTTTGATATTTTCAGTGGGCCAGAAAGGGCTTAATCCTAGCTTGTCCTTCCCCCTGACTATGGGCATTTTCATTTCAGTAATTTTCTCACTACAAGTTGATAATATTGTTGATATATAGCTATTGCGTAAACATCAGTTCACCAATGAACGGCTAATTTTACCAGAGACCCTATCATAGAAGAGACAATGACCTTCCGCCCTAATTAGGATTTGTATATTTCGTCACATCATAATCCAGCTATATGAAGGCGGTTAGAAAATAACAGTCTGATCAGCTCTGCTTGCATTTTCTATTTAGCAGTGCTAACTTTTCATTTCCTGATGCCAACGCGCCAGCTGCTTGAGATCAGACAGACCCAACTTCTCAGGAAAACATGTGCAGGTGCATAACATGTATAGAAACGATTATGCCTCTGTGGAATGTCGGATCTCATTCAACATTGATCTATGGTTTTATGGACGACAACAGGTTTAAAGTGAGGGTAACCATTCAAGACTTCTTCGTGATTACCAGATCGAATTATACAGACCCCAGTGTTAAGCGAGGGCGAAGACCCGGAAAGCTATCAACTGAAACAACCATGCAAAGAGCGATCATTTCCACTGTGAATTCTGTTATTGGCGAAAATAAACTTGCACTTTTCTGCGGTCATCCAGAGGAAAGTACTTATGGTTACATTAACGTTTGAGTTATCGTTTCCTGTGATTTATTTTGTAATCATGACCTCTTGCTGTCGCGTTTGCTTCAATGTTGTAAACCGATGTGCATCTTAGCACAGACTAATAGGTAACCTTTGAGATCAAGAATTCCTAAGCTAATATGGTTTTCACTAAACCTTTCCGTTAGATAAATATAGAAATTATTATTTTCAAGAGTAAATCCTATTGTATTCCCAAATATATTTGAGTGAGTGAGCGAGTTTGGTTTTACGCCGCTTTTAGCAATATTCCAGCAACATCACGGAGGGGGACACCAGAAATGGGCTTCACAAAATGTATCCATGTGGGGATTCGAACCCGGGTCTTCGGCGTGACGAGCCAACGCTTTAACCACTAGGCTACCCCACCGCCCTTCTTAGAGGAAGCTGAAGCAACATTTATTCAATCAATTTCATGAGGTATATAGGGTAACGCGTTATTGTTATTGCTATAGCTACAGTTTGCATTATCCAATACTGGCACTCACAAGCAATATAAACCAATGTTCGTTACTGTTGTCTATCCCGAAATACCTCTCAGTGTAGAGGTGGCAAACATTCTGAGCATGGGTATATATACCAGGATAAATGTATACATACCGGATGTATTTAACCAAAATACATACATTGTAAGTTATTAGTTGCTCGACATGTTAGCTTGAGCTATACATCATAGCAAGAGCTATACGTTGCAATTAAACCCCTTAATTATGTATATTATTACATTTAATGTATTTGTTGCATCATACAACATCAATTAAAATTACAATATGTACACACACACGCATACATACATACATACACACACACGCATACATACATACACACACGCATACATACATACATACACACATACACATACATACATACATACAGCCATACATGCATACATACATACATTACATACATACAGTCTTCTTGAGAACATCTAACGATGATAAGGTCCAGCTTATTTTTAATCACATGTTTATATAACAACCAAAACTAATGTGTTCACATTACATATATCACTTTTTTAAGAAAACATTTTACCCATGCCTCTGTACTTGTTTTGAAGCAATAAATCAAGTTATCCGTAATGTTCACTTCAGATAACTGTCAAAACAATTTTTCAAAGGCTTTGTCATATCATATATTTAGCATTTCTAGTAGGCCTATGCATGGCACTTAGCATGCATGTCTTTTCTACTTTGCACAGTAGCAATGGATGCACATAGAATATTTATACACGGGTAAATATAAGCAACATTGAAACTGGCCTCAGTAGTAGTTCAGGGCCTCAGTAAAGCTTTCAAGAGGTTTTATGGTAGACATGCATGTGGAAGAAATTTCTAAATTTGATGCATCAGTGACAAAAATTATGTCCTATGCAATTCCCTATTTTGACTTATACCACACGTTCCCGAATTATTTCAGGTGAACAATTGACTAGACTTAGCATATGTTTATGACGGGTGCCACAGCTTGGGCCCAATATGCTCACCTTTTCGCGAACACCCGGTATCATCACAATTTCATAGTGATTCATAAACACATGCTCTGTCATCGTATCGCAGGTGACAATCACTGGATTGTCTGGTCCAGACTCGAGTTGGTTACAAACAACACCGTACAGCTGTAATACTGCTGACACTAATTTGTGTTCTTGATATAGTCACAATTGTACAATCGTCTCCATCGTTAATCTACCTGCAGCCTCGCATATCATTTTAATTTGTAACCCACTGTTTTCTCACCTGAAGTCATCGGATTTTGAATTCTTTTGAAACCCAAAAGTCGTGTTTCGACTGCAACATGTTATAAAATCATGTTTCAGCTATACCATTTTATATAACTCTTTATTGTCTGTAACGGTGTTTTATGGCTACTTCTTATCTCTTCCTTCACCTGGCCACAAATACGTAACTATCTTTAAGGGCTGCTTTGCGTCCTGAGTAAGTGGTACCAGCAAAGCAGGACACGCCTAATGATTTCGCGAGCACCTGTATTTCAGGAATGAAATAATAAAAGTGTTTACGTTAATAAACTCTTAAGGAATTTCACGCCTTCAAGTCTTACTCATGAATCATGTCTTCATGAATCTCTGCTAAAAGTCGAAGATTCCGACGATATTGTGAACACGTGTTTATGAATCAAACAGTGGTGATATCAGGTGACCTTATCCAGTTCCACCGGTGTTATCCATTTTAAACAAATGCAAGGTTTGTCCACTGTTAATGTGGGAAAATACAGAAACATATGGTACACATCAAACTAGGGAATTGCATCGGACGTATTTTTGTCACAGATGCGTGAAACTTGGAAATGTCTTTCAAATATCTTAAAACTTGTTTAAAGCTTTAATGATGTTTGGATCTTAAACCGTCATCTAAACATTTCTTTGAAAAAGTCGTATGGCGCTCTTTAAAATGTTAGGAAAAGGATGAGCTCGAGTTCTGAAATATAAACACCCATGGCTTGAGCTGCAGGAATATTGCTTGACATAAACAAAAACGTGACTATTAGGAAGTTGAAGGCATGCCTCTTGGCATACAGTCTTGTGGAAACTTATGCTTATCTAGGTTCTTACCAGATGAGGCGGACTCACTGTGTTATTTCTAGTTCAGGTGGATAAAACGATGGAAGAGAATTGGCTATTTGATGGTCAATGAATGGCATCAGATCATCAGTGTGCATGAGGTGTGCTGAAGTTAAACGTCATAGCCAGAATACCTTGTGTTGATTCATATGCAAAAAGAAACAGATCTGCAAGAAGAGGAGCACAGTGGATGCCCATGGAAGCTTCTTGTATATATGTGTAACCAATATTTATACACAGATGTATCAACGAGGAATCCAGCATTTCACATTGTTTTCTCCGTGAACTTTGTTTGTTTTTTGTACAAATTGTCCTGAACCTCTGAAGACCTGTATCTGTGGCCACCTGGTTTTGTAACACAAAATCAAGGAATAAAGTTTTCCTGTAAGTTCGTCACTTGGGATAGCGGCGATCAAAGTTGAAATATCAAACATTTTGCCACAATTGAACTAGGTTCATTTCTTAGATAGTATAACGTCAAGACAATCCTTGAGGATACAAATTACATTAATTATATTTGTCTCAAATACTTTCAGTGAATATGAATGGGTCATTAATTGATTGTATTCATGGATTTGGTGGTACATCTGCTGGACCAAGAAATATGTCTTTCTTTGTGCGACCTTTATGGAGCTTAATATGGAACACATTAAAACGTACACCTGAATGTACACCTAACGCTTAGTCTCTGAAACAAACAAGTCCTTATACATTGAAAAGGAGCCCCAGTGAGATGGGAGATTCAGATCCTGAACCCGAGGAAATCTAGACTTGCTTCATTTAGGGCTTTAGCAGAAAGGGTTGGGCGGAGGGGAAAATAATGCGATTTTTGATGAGCTGAGGTGTTGAAGTTCATTTTGTTTGCCAAGTATGTTATTTCCATTACATACAATTCATCATGAGATCATTATTGAAAAAGTTGCCATTGAAGAAGTTAATTTCGATTAAACCATCTGTCACACGGTGTGGATATTCTGGATTCAAAAAGCTAAAGTATTGTTTATGTAATATACGTAAGCAGGGAACTCCCTAATTTAACATATCTCAGGTAAATACATACACAATGTATCATTGTAATGCATAGATAATATAGAAAAATATGTACAGTTTCAAGGAAAAGGTCGGGTTTGTCTATTTTCATAACCTAAGACCATACGCTATAATTCCATACCCGTTCTATTTCAGGTACGGTTGAATCACTGAATCTTTAATCGTGCATATAAGCACATGGTATGTTTGAATCATTAGTAACACAAGCTTTAGAAACCACAAAAGAATTACCACTTACAGTATATCATATATTATGCAATATTTTCATAAATACCGTTCTCGACTGAGCTAGAATGGCTTATGGGTTTAGAATTAAACATATGGTATCACTGGCGCCCGTGGGCAAATTAAGAACAATATTTTAACGTGTCACGTATTATTTTCTCTCCAAAGAATTCAAAGGCTAAAATATACCATTCGTTCCAACGGATTTATTTCAGTTAGAGTAGCTGGTTAGATTTCAATCTTAAATACGTATACATAACAAGTATAACCATTAATCAGTATTCGTGTGAATATTTAAAATACCAAGGATGTACATGGAATAGCATCGTTTTCATTTACGCTGAGAAGAGAGGTTAAAGGAGGTAAACATATTTAGTTTCCTTGCATTGTGTTGGAATGGATTCTGTAGCCTTCTAAAAAGGCTTTGACTATGACGTTTATCTAAGATAAACAGACTTAAGAATACACAAGGTATAAATGAAACACGTTTCTCGTGTTAGGTAACGCTCCGTGTCCGTTAAGGTATGGTAATCAGAGAACACATTAAATAATGAAGCCTATCTTACTTCCAAATACGTACGGGTTTACTCAGCTTTTACTCGGAGTATCAGCAGGATGTATTAGAAAAGCCCGAAGTGGAGAAGGTCCTATCCATATCACTTTTGTGAAATTGATTGAGTGTTGTCATACGCCGCTTTTATCAACATTTAAGCAACATCTTAATAATGATAATAATCTCTAATATGTATAAAGCGCCTGTTTCCACACACTTGTGCATGCTCAAAGCGCTGACGCATTATTACCCCGGATAACCCAAGCTGCCTGTAACGCGCTGGAAGACAGTCATATCACTTTTCCCACCGGGTACCCATTCAGAGCTGGGTGAACAGAACAACCAATGAACAAACTCACTTGCCTAAGTGAGACCACATGTGCCACATGTGCTTCGCTGTGGGGCAGGACTGAAGTCCTTAAAACTCATTTAAGCTGCCAAACACGGTCACCCATCCATACGCGCACAACGTTGCTTAACTTCAACTGATTTGTGACTGTATGCATGTGACCATACACCACTACAAATGGATCTTGGCGGGGGGAACCAGAAATGGGCTTCAAACATTATACCCCTGTGGGTTTGAAAGAACTAGTATGACAAAATATATATAGGGATATGACTACGTTTACGGCAGCGAATAAGGGAGCCTTCACCCTGCTACCCATCTCGTACGCATCAGCATTATAAAATGCAGCATCATTTATCTTTATCAGACTTACGACCATGATGACCTTTTGTACATATGCAATTCAGAAAAAGATTTTGTTTGCAGTCTATAATGGGTTTGTTTTTTTCCTGTACCCTCAGAAACATCTGAGAATGTCATTCTCGTAAATATCAAAGGTACAAGAAAATCATGAGGCTCGATATCCAAGTAAAGTATAGTTATTTTAAATCAGAGTTTCAGTGGAAATCATCATTATGGCAATCAAAAACATTTTCTAAATAATGTCTTTTGTTCAAATATTTCTGAATAAACTATTCTCTTCCACTGATACACCCACCGCAATTAGAAATAAAGAGATTAATGATCAATAAGAGATCGGATTTTGTAATGCATAAAAATTTACAAAGAATCCACAAGATGACTTCAGCTTTTAAATATTCAACTTACCCTTTATGTTGTGCAATAGTCCAGCAGCTCCAACCTTTTGTGTCGACATTTCACATCTTTGGTAATATGTTATCTCTACATCTATTTCTAAGAACGTTTCTTACAACTCTCGGTGAAAAGTTGTTTCATCAGGGTCACAGCAATCACAGGCTTTAGTAAAGCTTTGAACTACTTTTTAACTTAGTGAGTGAGTTAGTATGGTGTTTCGCCGCTTTTAACAATATTCTAGCAATATCACGACGGGAAACACTACAAATGGGCTTCACAGATTGTTCCCATGTGGGGAATCGAACCCGGGTCTTCGGCGTGACGAAACAAACGATTTAACCAGTCGGCTACCCCACCTCCCCCTTTTTAACTTAAACATAAAAAGAACATTAGGAGCGATCTGACACACAATTTACTTTTGGAACTTAAAACATTTCAGGAGGCAATTCGTTTGATAAAGTTATTAGTGTTAATCCGTTTAAATTCAATAGACAATATTCCTTGAATTTTCAAATGCTAAAATGTATAACATGAAAAAAAGTTAATATATACAGGCTTACCATTAAAAGGCTAGTGTCGTATCTTTTAAATGGCGTTCTTTCTTGCCACTGTCCAGTTGACCTTGAAACTGAGAACTGTTCTGTGTATGGGACAAGAATGCTACCCATACCTAACACGAGCATAAATGTGCAGGCGACCATCTTCGGTGCTCGCCAACTTTGTAATGGTCGAGTATTGACCAGTTAGTTATTGAGTCCGTACAAGCACCGGCTTAAGACACACGTCCACCTGATATTGCGAGTGGGAGGGTGAGGATCGGCGCCACCTAATAGTATGAATGGGATGCTATAATTGGTTGAATTGATTTCTTATTTCTGTCAACGAGGACGGCTTATCATTAAAAGAGAGATTACATATGAGAAAATGTCTCTTAGAACATCATGCCACACGTAACGTGTTATATTTTATCTAGGAATGAAAGACCATTGTCATTATAAATGAAAAAGTAAATAGACTTTTTCTGTTTAGTCTCGATCAGATTAAAATGTTTTGCGTAGTGATTCGTAGCATGGCACTGGCGTTATTTCCATTACTTAAAAAGAGGCTAAAAGGGAGTGAAAATAATAACTCTAATACGGCAACCTTGACATTATGAATGTTTCAGTGCTTGAGTGACGATCCATTCAACCTTATGTTATGACACGCAATCACCACGGAGGCACGTGGTTCAGTGCACAAGTCACACATGAAACACAAGGCTATGGCCCTGTCCACCTGTCTACTTTTAAACCAAAATACTTACTTTTTAACCAAATGTTTTTCATAGGGAGTACTACCAGTTGGGACAGGACGTGCCCAGCTCAGTGTTTTTCCCATTACACAAGAAGGAATTTGATTCTAAGGATGGTCAAGATTGGATATCCTTTTGAATTAATTTTGCTTTTTATGTTTATCCCTTTGTTGTTGAAGGCCTTACTCAGCAATATTCCAGCTATATGACGGCAGTATGTAAATGATCCAGTCTGGACAATACAGTCCAGTGATTACTGTTGGGACCAGCATTGTACACAATATAGTGACATCCTTCAGCCAAGTCAACCAACAAACAAATAGATATATATGCTACCGCAATCAATATGAAAAGGAAAGTAAAGGCGAAGTGCTATTGTTATGTGCGTAGAAATCTTAGGCTGATTACAATTGTTCTTGAGCAATACATGCTTGTCGTAAGAGGCTACTCATTGGATAGGGTGTGCAGGCTATCTGACGTGGGGGTGGCGGGGGTAGCTTAGTGATTAAAGCGTTCGCTAGTCACGCTGAAGACCCGGATTCGATTCCCCATATATATACAATGTGAAAAGCCCATTTCTGGTGTCCCGCACGTGATATGGCTGGAATATTGCTAAAAGCGGCGTAAAACTAAACTCACCCACTCTCTGACTTGAGTGATGCATGTCGTCTAATCCAAAAATCCCATCGATTATGAGAGCAATCAGTGGATTGTCAATTTTTAACAGACCGCCGTAATACTGCTTCAATATTTCTCACTGTGGCGTGTAAAGGGATACAAGAAAAATATTTGTCCTGTACAATCTTTGAATATTCACTTTTTCCAAACTTGGACCAAAAAATGTAAAAATGTCTTTATCAACGTATAAGTGGCATTACAGGCTGAACTGAATCCAAACTGTGTCGGAATATGTATTGGTTTCAAACGAAAACCACACATAAAGCCCCCGTCGTTTACTGAAACTTTAACTAGATCCAATAGGATAACAGACCAACTGCTATTGTTTAGAAGTCACTGTGCCATATACGTGTAGTAATAAGCTTAACTAGCAAATTTAGACTACCTGTTTCAATTAATCCTGAACCTAAGTATTTTATGTGCGAGTCTTAGGCTGTTCGGCGTTATTAATGTAACTATGTTTCTTTATAGATGTGTGAGACGTCATTACTAACACTGACGTGTGCAAATTAGTTTTGATCTTCTCGTTTCCGCATTACGAAGTGGATCTATAATGTCCAACATCTGCAATCGTTACATATCACCTAACCAAACAATGTATCATCAACATCCTTTATTACGTTTATATGGCAAACAGTACAACATGTGTAAAACAGTATGGTAAAGACATGCATATGCGCCACACTGAGAATGTAGATCTTATTACAATTGATACGATTATGTGTTCACAGAGATTTTTGTTTCGATCGAAGTACAAACACTTTTTTAAGAAAGATACAGTCTTAATAGTCTTTTCATATCGCTTGTTCTCGTCAATTCAATAAACATTTGAACATGAGGGCAATTTTCAGGAAACTATTTAGCACGATACTCATTATAAAGAGGGTATACTAATGTAATATGGAATTCATCTTCTAGTTCAGTCACACAGGAACTACAAAACGCAGTTTCATAGTTTTTGGAGTATCTTTACGAATTAACATTAAAATCATGTACATTACTACGAAGTTTTGTCAAACATCTCCGTAAATCTTTTGAAGTAATAGTTACAAGATATATTTCAAGAAAATAGTCAGTCTTTATGGTTGAATAGAACGTCAAAGATTCGTAAAAAGCTATATATTGATGCCACTCTTGATACTATATGTCTTTGCAACGCTGTTTAAAATTCTCCAGAAAACGTTTCTCGTTACCAACATCTTGTGCTATCCATACATAGCCGAAACCGTATCTAAATAATAACATTCTCACTTTTGATACCCAGTTTTCATCCCCATTATCATCTTGTCTTTTTAACATTTCATAATATTCTTTGTATATCTGTATGGCGGTTGCCGTAAAATCTTCATCCAAAACGACCAAGGCTAATATAGCATATATTTCAATAGGATAACGACCTCATTCTGCCAGTGCGGTTCTACTTGATGCCCTAGAACCAATCTGTAATACATATTTACAAAACCTTGAATGAACCTTTCCGATTTGTTTACGTTTTTCCCATCCCCAAACAATGTATATAGGCTGTGTATGTATTACTTAATTAATATATAGAGATCATTACACGAGCAACTGTGCCATACGACTTATACGAAACGAGTGTGAAATTTTGTATTGTCCGAGCGAGAGCGAGCAACGATAACGCACCTCTTCATTGACGTCACGTTCAATTGCTTAATGACGTCACTGACAACAAAATACAGAAACAATGGTTGCTAGGCAAAAATGATATGTGCACATATGTAACATATGATATATATGACACAGTGTAATAAATACAATTAATACTGTGGCAAGCTGATGTGCGAATCAGTAATGTAATAAGAGGAGTAGCGATTGTCGGATCAATATAAGAGACCTTTACGTAATCATAAGGCACCTTCATTGTACCATTCCGACTGTATCATAACCATGTGTGTTTGGATCGTCGTTAATCAGTTAAGAAACCACGTGTTTGCGAAAGGTGACACTATTTGTACCCTCCGGTGAAACTGCTCATAACCACATTCAAAGTCAAGTCACGTGTTCACCTGAACAAACACGGGAACCAATGATACTTGCCATATAAGGGAATTGCATCTGAGTGAGTGATTGAGCATGGTTTTACACCGCTTTTGGCAATATACCAGCAATATCACGGCGGGGACACCAGAAATGGGCTTCACACATTGTACCCATGTGGGAAATCGAACCCGAGTCTTCGGCGTGACGAGCGAACGCTTTAACCAATAGGCTACCCCACGAACCAGTACATTAAGTACACGAGTGACGAACGAGATGGACACTCGTGTTTAACTGTATACGCACGGGTGTCACAGTCGAGGCGGTCGGGTTCATGGGTTGCCCATACGTGAGGGGACTTCTTTGCAGCAATGTACGGCTTGTGACACATTAAGACACTTCTAAAGGGTTTCATCTGTTAACAACTTCTCTTTGGAAGGATGGAATATCGCTTACGTTCGTGTAAATAACATTCATTTTCGAATGAATTAAATTTTTTCTAGTTTTTTTTATACTAATGGTTATTACAGTTTTCTTTTGGAGATCTCAATAGTATAATGTTCAAACAATATCAACTACACTATTTATACTTCTCCCACATTGAATGTTGTATTATATTCACAGACACATTTAATCCAATTTCAGTTAATAGACATGAAATGTGACACTAACAGTGCAAGTTTATCCTATAGTTCATTACTGCTTAGGTAGTAACAGCAATCACTGACCATACGTGCCTATATCTTTTAATATACTTTCCGAAAAGGGTGATATTGATATATAAGCTTTTATTCCTCCAAAGGAAAGTACAATGAGATGCATATACATTAAATTACATTATACATACATACATTTTTTGGGGGGGTTATCATTATTATTGTCATTTTTGTGTGTGTATTATTATTTTATTCATATTTTTTTAAAAGAAAAGAGTTCCACACGTGTGTTGAAGGACTCAATGTGAGTTATGATGGTTTTGGCATACTGCAATGTCTCGTCATCACTCAGCTGTAACGGAGGTCTACAGGCCTAGGATAGCAGCATGGATGCCAGTCCAATGTCACTCTGGTTGTGAAGGCAGACACTGACCTCAATTGGACTGCAGTTGATGATGTCGCACCATAGACTCTCTCTAATATTAGTCAGATGTTCCAGAGCAGGAGCACACAGTGTGCACCAGAAGATCACAGTAGTCCTCATGGCACAGTTTACATTGTCCCTTGACTTTGCCAGGTCTCCAACACGCACACAGCTGGACAACGACTCTGCACAAGGGTTTCAAGGAAGGATAACTCTTGTCTACCAACCAGGCCATGTGAGGTAGGATATGGGGGTGAATCAGTTTGAAGTGCTTCAGGTCGGGATCTTCATCCATTCTGGTCACCCACTGCTTAATAGTGGCTTTAACCTTATTCTTCCAAGACATGTACGTCATGAATGTTCTTGCAACTCATATCTATGTAGAAGTCGACGAATATCAGGTATGAAGCCCAGTGATGTACTGCTACAGTTATATCTGAGAGAATACAACCGAGTGAGAAATAACTGAGATGATAAATTCTGCCTTTTTGTATAACAAAGTCTCCCCCAAAAAAGAAGTTTTTGTTTGTCGATATATGCCCCTAAAGGAATGACACCAAGGAGAGCGTTGCAAATGTCAGTCCTTGTGCACATGAAACGAATGCAGAGTGATAGGTTCATCCGGGAGCTTCATTTGTTATAGCTACATCCGGGTGCTTCATTTGTTGAAGTACAACTGCAAGTAGAGTGCCTGGTTGGCGCAAAAGATTCGTGATCAATTTGCT